AATACTAGAATGTGTAAGCCCATACCATACCTTTTGTATTGTATTATATCTGTGTGCAATTTGCTCATCTTGTTAAACTGGTAAGAAATGAATTCAGAATCCTGAATAACATTCTGATAGAGCAGAATAAGGGTTGTTTTGGAGCCTCTGCAGGAGTCATTTCATGATTTCTTAGTTCATAGTTTTACCAAATGGTTAGTAGAAAGTTATGGTACCTATATGATGCCTGGAATACGTCAGTGAATATGAATCTTTATTTTAATTCAAATGCAGACTAAGGATTCAAATTCCCACTTCTTTAGATTCCTTCTTTATGTGGTTTTGCTGTATTATATGTCTGACATCTAGCATTCCAGTGCATTAGATGATTCATTTAAAAGTTATAATGGTTTGAACTAGAGTGGTCTCATTTGTTCAGAGGTTATTTTGTCAAAAAGGAAGTGTTATTTTCCATGTATCTTAAAAGTTATATGGCAGTTATACATATAAAAAGTTAAAATATGGGCATATAAGAATAGTTGTCTTTAAAACACTTCTAGCCAAAGTATAGAACCACCTCACTAGATAGCTTGAATTTAGGTTTTCTGCATTTCATTGGAAATGGGAAACATTTTTGGGCTTCATGGGGAACTCTTTATGTATTTGAAAATAAAGCATTTTTATTGTTTTCTATTTATTGGTAGCAGCTGTGCAAGAGACTTTATTTAATACTGTAACTGCAGACCACATAAAATAGCTCTGTGTTTTACAGGCTTGATTTTTCTGAAGTCAGAATCATGGAAAATCATAAAAATCATTATGGATTAGATTGCTGTAGTTGTGTAGCTAGTACTAGTTATAAAGTTTTGGCCCAACATTTTGGGGGAGTGGGGAAAAAAAGATTTGTTATGTTTGTCTTCGTGTATACAAAAATGAAAGGGGACTGATGTTTTAGGATGTGGTGGGATCTTTAAATGTCAAGGAAGATGATTGAGTGTGAAGATACTCTAAAGAATAGTTGTTTTATTAACTGTGACCATAGTTTTGTAAAACTACCTATGATTTTCAGTCTGTAATTACTAGTAATAGAATTTAAGGATCAAATCTTGTGTCTTTGGTTGAACTTTTGAGGTCTGAAATAGTACGATATTTTTCTTCAGTAGTTTGGTGTGTGAAGGAAAATAAAGTGGAAATTTTCATGTAAATAAACAATAAGCTTCCTCTCCAGTTGTATTAATGCATGTTATCCTACCCAGGTGAAACTTGTGACAGCAACATCTTACAGAATTCAGGTTGATGATGTTTTTGGGTTTTCTTTTTTTGTTGCTGCTGCCATACTTTGATTCCTTCTGCTTCTTAATGTTTATGTTCTTTGAAAATGCAGGAGAACTATGTTGGAGGTGAAAGTTTGAATCTAAATTACATGTACTTGTTGCCAATAACTTTCTAATTTAAACAGACTTCCTATTTTCCCTCTCCATGATAAGGCCCTGTGTGCTGCTGTAGTTAAGCAAGATGTGCTAGAAACTCTGATGTTGCTGTTTAGTGGGGCTGATGCTATGTGTGCCACTGGAGACCCTGTTTACAGTACTCCGTACTTACTAGCCAAGAAAGCTGGACAAAGACTGCAAATGGAATTCCTGTACCATAATAAATTCTCAGGTAGGATATATTCTCTTTGTTTTGATCTTCTGATTTTATATTGAGAAAAAGGGAAATACGGAAGGAATTCAGAAGAAAAATTGTCATTGAGTTGAACAGCAGTGGTATAGGGGAGGGGGAGTTGTGATGGTGTTAACTGAATTTCAGCAGACAGCATATGCAATTGTGTACAAGTTACTTTTATATTTGCTTAGACTTCAAGTTTAGGAATTAAAAAAAATAATAAAAAAGCCAGTGATAACTCATAGACCTTATAGCCTTATTTATAACTCAGAGGAAAAATGTAATCTGCTCTGCCAGTATTATCAGGCTTTTACCAGAAAAAATGGATGCATACACTTAACAAGTATCTAAAGTATTTGTCTGGGGCTTTGTTTTTTCTTTAAAATTCTTTAAATTTGTATCTATCCTTTCTGCAAACAGAACTACCTGGTTTTTTGTTTGTTTGTTTGTTGGTTTTTTTCACAAACTCTCCTCCCAAAATAAAACTCACCTGCTGAGCCTGTGATAGGATCTATCCCAGAAAACTACCCTTTTTTTCAGATCACAACTTCTATTACAGCTTGGAGGATATGATAAACTTTGGCCTTGAAATTCTACAGCTCTGGTTGCAGTGTGTGACTGTTACAAGGCTCTTGAAAACAGAAAGCTATTCTTAAAAATAAATAAATAAATAAATAAATAAATAAATTGTAGAGTATGGATGTGTCTGAGCTTACCTTTTAAAAGGTCTATACAGTATCTGAAGCAGTTCACACACAGATTTACACTGGAAAAAATAGCTATGCTGTACTGCAGACAGCATTGTGGACATGCTCCTGGACCAACTTTCCATTGTCTTGCGCCACTTTGCAAAATAACACCATGTAGGCTGGACGACAAAAGTTTTAGTGGGAAACACAGAAATGATTTAGAGCTTCCTAGAGTATTGAGAGTGCCTTAAGTTCTGCCTCAGCGTTGCCAGGCACTGGATCCTTGGGTGTTGAGCTCAGTCACTGTGCAAGCATGTGACTGAGCAGCTATGGGTTTTTTGCTAGTTATGCTGTCAAGTGGTCCTAAGGCTATAGAGAGAAGTTTGCTTTTCTTAACTCTGTCTCTTCTACTTTCAGCCTTCCAGCCAAGGCAGCATCACCATATGCTAGTGCTAGTGTTTGTTCTTCTCTTCAGAGAAAGGGAGGTCATTGCAGGTTGACAGTGATTCTCAGAATCATTTTCCATCTGCTGCCAGAGGTGGTGGTAAACTTCTAAGTAAGCCCTCAAGAGAAACAATTGCCTTCTGTTGAAGTATGTTACATAAGGGATAAAAATAAAAGCTTAGTATATCATAAAACCATGTTTTAGATTGTATTGGCAAGCCATGGTAGACAATGGCAATGTTGTAACAAATGTAAACCTATGTTTTTTTTGATGTATATATAAGAATTTTACTCTAATTGTAAAAATAAATCAATAAGATGCATCTATACTGTAATAAAGATACTACAGAGCAACTATATATCTACAGATATGCATTCAGAAAGACCTGTGGAGAAATGGTTCTAAATTATATAACTGCAGTCTGTATGTTACTTTCTCCTTTGTCTTTTAATAGATTTCCCAAACTATGATACTTGTTTTGAAAGTGGCTTCTCTGAAGATTCTTCACATCCCACCTTTCTATGTGAATTCTTATACAAAGTTGCTTCTAATAGTGCTAAGCTTCTTACAGAGAAGAAATTAAAAGAAGGTATTTCACTTTTCCTTTATGAATATGTATAATACAGAAATATGTGTGGTTTAGATTAATTTGATTATTTTAAACTTCTTGCATTACTTTTTAGAAGGTAAAATATCTTTGACATAATATATCCTCTTTTGATTCAGTAGACCTCTTTCAGGTAAAGAAAATACTGATTGTCTTGATGTCTTTTTCAGTGGTTGACAGAGGAAGAAAACTGAACTACTGAAAAATTACTCAGTTAATAAGTTATTGATAAATAATAAACACTTAGGAATATTTCTCACTTAATTGTATTTAGATGGATGCTACTAACTGCCAAAAACCAGTTTCCATCTGAAATGATAATATTCCAGAAATAACTTAAAAGTATCACTAACTTTTTAGTATGAGTCAAAGTGACTGACACCTAGGATTTTTTTCAAGCTCACAAATTTTAAAAGTATTACAAGTGTAAATGAGCACTTCCATCAACTTTAAAACAAACTGAGCTTTGTGGGGTGAAAGTGTGTGTATATCACAGTAGATATGCATGCTTTTCTGTGTACTTCAATCTTGTTTTCTTCTTTTTTTCCTGAGAGATGCTATCAGGTAATTCTTAGCTGCTTTTTTTTTTTCTTTTTCTCCCCAGTTGTGTTCCTACATTTTTCTTCCAACTAAACAAACAAATGATACTGATTTTAAAAATCTATCCTGTTTTATGGTTGAATTTATTGCTTCTAAAATCTTGACATGGCATCCTGTGTCAGTGTATAAGTATTTTTGTATGATTATGTTCATATTCTCATGGTGTATGCCTTTAAGAAGATCCTTGGTGGAGATTAAAGTTTTCCATCTGGTTTAACATAAGCACATAACTGCTATTTAAAAATGCTTTTGAAGACTCTGCACGTTAGTGTGGTTCCAAATACTTCAAAGCATTGGGTGATCAACAGAACTAATGCCTGATTGCGGGTGTTTTCCCAGCAATTTTGCAATTGTTAATGAAAAGAACTGTTGCTGAACTGGACTTTTTTTTTTTTTTTTTCTCCTGCTCTGTGCTGTGCTATATCAGTCTTCTGGAGAAAAAAAAAAAAATACTAAGAAGAGTTGAGAGCAGATACAAGGCAATACTACTGGTCTCTTCTAACACAATGGTATGTTAGAAGTGCAGTATGAGTTTGTAAATACCTGTATAGATTTAAAATTGAGCTATATAGTAGGATGCTTTAAAAATATTTCTGAAGAAAGCTCTCAGACAAGAAAAAACTGAATTTTTACTGTGTTCCATCATAAGTTTTTAGTGGACAGAAATTACACTGCTTTGAAAGCTTTTAGTCTATTGCTCAGCGTTGCACTTACTACTTGGAGGAACATACAGTAAATGGAAAGGAACTAGATTTCCCTCAGCTCAGGTTTTGGCCTCTGAAATTGTGGTGGTGTCTTGTAGATGGTAGATGTTCTGTTTGTATTTTTGAGGGATTTTTTTTTTTTTTAGGGACTTTTTTTTGCTTTGGTTTTTTTTTTGCATTAATGTTGAATTACCCATGTGTTTGTCAGGACTGATGTTTCTGGGATGGGTGCTTTACAGATACATAGGAACATAAGTTTCCCTGACCATTTTCAGTGTAAGAAGACAAATGACAAATGGGACACGGGAGGAAGAATAATTATGAATTTTTTTTTTCTTTGCTATTTAAAGCATAAAACACATAATCATTTTTTTCCCCTTCTGTATTGATTGTTTTCACATCAAGAACTGTTTCTACCTTTATAAAATCTCAGCATGAAGTAATACGGGATATGCGTATTGCAGATTGTTGGGAATAAGTGGTAATATATTTTTTTTCCTTCTTACTTTCTTTAGAAAATTTGATGGTTACAGTACTAATGTGTAGGAGATACATTTTCAATTCCTTCTGCCTGTAAAGATTCAAATAAGAAGGTCGCGTTATCCAAAAAGTTTCATTCTAGAGAAAAGAAATAAACTCTCCTGTTGAAGCAGTTCTGACTTGCTGTGAACTAATTTGAGTTCTTACTGGGCCAGAGAAGGAGCACCATTCTCTAGCTGGGGATTCCAGCACTTGTCTAAATTTTGGGCCCTGACCCAAAGTACGTTAGGCTTTTGAGTTACTGATTTATTTATTTTTTTTTTTTAATGTTGTTTGAGGAAAGGGCTGTGAGCCGGAATCCTGTTAAGCTGTCTAACCATTAAACTAGAGTTAAATTCTTCCTCAGTGTTATCAATCTCTTAGGCAATTGTCAGCCCTGCCTTTAGTGCCAAGGGCTGAAAATTTAAGTGCTCTGTTTATTGTCCCAGGAAACTTTATCCCTTTGTGGGCTGAGCCCTAATGGTAAAAAGATACTCAAAAAAACATTCAGTGTTGTGAATTGAGCTCAGGTTTTATAACCAACAAATGGAACACCTGGAAATACAGTCCAGTTTTTCGTTATGTGGGTTTCAGATAGTGCAGGACAGAGTAAGCCAACTTTATGTGTACTTCTCATTATAGCAGCATCAATGGTTTCAGCAGGGGTACATAACTTTTAAGGAAAGTTGTTGTTAATTAACAGCTGTTAATGATCAGAAAAAAAAGCAGGAAGAGAGCTCAAATACTGATGCTATTCTGATGCAATGGGTCAAAAAATAAAGGTTAGTGGCTCAGTTTTAACTTTATTGCTTCTGCTTTTAAAAACAGAAGTGTCAAAAATACTGTAAAAGTTTTTATGGAGACCTGTTAAAAGCCTTGATGTTCCAAAATCATCCTTGAGAGTTGTAACACTTTAATGAATATTGAAGCAATGAGCTATTTTGTAGAACAGGCTTTGGGGAATGGGAGGGGGAAAGCTGGGGAACAAAAAAACCTAAATAATCACAACTTACAAGTTTGGTGCTCAGCTCCTGAAAACCTATAAATTCTCAAATCCCTTATCTTCATTTTAGTATTTAAAATGTGTACTTAGACAGAATATGTATAGAACTAGATAGAAAATAGCATGACACAAATAAATACTAATAAGAGATATTTATAAACATGTATAAATCATATAGCAAATAACAGAAAAACTGATTGGATGAAATATTAGGTAACATACTATTTAAGTACTGGCTAACTACAACTGCATTTTGGTTTTTTTTTTGGTTGATTTTCGTGGTTTTTTTTTTTTTTTTTTCAGAGCTGTTTTACCAAATTTTCACAAAAATTTTACCAGAACATTTGCAGCTATATAGGAATTTTAAGACTAGAAATAAAGGAAGTATGTTCTCTTAGGATCTGCTTCTCTGCAGTGGTGGGAACAGATACACCTCAAATTATATTCTGAGAACTAGATGTGAGCTAGAATGGGTGCATGAATATTTTGAGTAGCAAATAGTCATTAATATACTATGTCATATGCTGTATTTATATTTTAGGTTCATAAAAGGGAGTAGACATTTTGGTCTTACTTAAATATGCCAAATAATACTTCTAAGTTGCTCTGCAGATTTCTTTCACCTTGAATTTTTTTTTTTTAACTTATAGTTGTCAATTACTGGATACTTTAATGTATCTAATTCAATGTTATTTGAAGATAGAATTCTTAACTAGTTAATTTAACCATGATTAGCAACTGTAATTGTTAGATGTTGAAAGCACCCTACAAATGTTAGCATTCTGTAAACGACAACGTTGCTAAATGAATTTACCCTTGCCAGATATATATGGGAATAGCAACAAGAGAGATCCCCAATTTATTCTAATGTGAACATGCCATCCTGAAATGGCTATAGCTACCACCTGCTTATGATATATCCATTTATCTCGCCCAATATACAGGAATAAATTCTGTAGAATTTAGTTGCTATCTGACACTTGGGCCTGCAGAAGGAAAGATTGAGCTCAGTCACTGATATACCTAGAAAGGGTTGTTCTGTTATTTTTTCTTCAGTTTGTCATCCTTTATTATTTTGGTAGCATATTTGGAAAAAAAAAATCTTGTTAAATAACACAACTTCTGATAGTGTTTTCCTTGTGTTTTCTAGTGTTGTGCAATGGATACAAGTTCTGGCATGTATGACATTGTTTTTTCTAGACTATTTGAAAGGCTTAAATTGTTTTCCTTGATCTTGTGACAGCGAGTATACACACAAGCATTACCAAACAACAGAAGACAGAATTACTTAGTTTTGGCCTCTAGTTCCAGTAACATGAGAGAGTAGCATTTTTTTGCTACTACATACCATGATTTACTCACTCATTTTGCTATCAGCTCTTGTCATAATATACTGTTCTTGCAGCTTTCAGTATTTCGAACTTTGTAGCTTGTTTTCTTTTTGCTTCCTTAACTGTCTTCTGCTAAACATGTGATGTGGTATTGTATACCATCTTCCCCCACCAAGTTCCACAGCAAGTAAAGTAAAAGCCCTATACAAAGGTAAAGTTAACTTATGAAGTGATTTAATATACTCATAAAGTAAAAATAAATGTTTTGTATTTTAAATATTCTTTTCTTAAATTAGCATGTGCTAGAGTTTCTGTAGGTTAAGTAGTATGAACACATACATTGAATTCCTGGCCCACTGAAGTCAGTGAGACTGATTTAATCATAAATGTATTACTGTTACAGCAGCACTATGCATCCTGTGAGGCATATATATAGGAGGAAGTAATTATTATTATGCCAACTGACTTTTTTATTATTTCTTTAATCACAGATTGCAACAAAAGATGGTGCACTTTGGAAAGTGGCTTTCTGAGCTACTATGAGAATGATAAAACTACCACTCCTAATGGTATGATTGACATCAATGAAGTTATCTGTCTTGTAGTGCACAAGTCAGACTTCTTTTTAAATAGATGGTAGGTTCCCAAATTAATATTTCAAGAAACCAACTCAGGTATTTCAAAGATTTTATTCTGGGTTTTCAGAGCTGTTAATTTGTTCCTGAATTTTGAACATGCAGTTTAGAGGAAAAAAAAGCTGAATTGTTTTATGTTGACTTCAAGAAATAAGTGCTAAGTGATATAAAGGGATTTTTTTTTTTTTATGGTGATTTAATGAAAATATTAGGGTAATTAAAAGGGCAGCATAAATTAGATACATCTGTTTCTTATTAAAACTGTAAAGCATATTCTCATTGCTTAAAAGATTACATGATAATAAATTCAACAATTAATACTTATCTTTCTGGGATTGACCTCTGCCTCAGGCCAAAACTCTTGATTTGTTTCTTCCTGATCATAATGCAGCAGATCAAAGTTCTCCACAATGCTCTCTTTTGGTCACAGATCTATCAGTCTTTGAAACCCATTCTTTGTTCTGCAGTTGAGGACAACAGTGTAACTATTGAACACTGTGTTAGTGCATTGGGTCTGACTGGGATGGAGTTAATTTTCCCCATAGCAGCTCTCAGAGTGCTGAGTTTTGTATTAATAGCTAGAAAGGTGTTGATAACGCACCAGTGTTTTGGTTACTGCCCAGCAGTGCTAGCAGAGCATCAAGGCTGTCCCTCCAACATCCTCTGCCCCCCGGTAGGCTGAGGATGGGAAGGTCTTGGGAGGGGACACAGCCAAGACAGCTGACCCAAACTGACCAAAGGGATATTCCATACCATGTGACATCTGCTCAGAAATAAAAGCAAGGGGATGGGGAGGCATTCGTTGTTTCCATTTGTCCTCTTGGAACCACAATGCGTATGAAGCCGTGCTTCCCAGGAAGTTGCCGCACATCACCTGCTGATGGAAAATAGAGAATAAATATTTTGTTCCTTTGCTTCTGCACAAGCAGCTTTGCTTTGCTTCTATTAAAATGCCTTTTGTCTCTACCCATGAGTTTGGGTTTGTTTTTTTTTTTTGTTCTATCTTATTTTCTCCCCTCCCCATCCTGCTGAGGAGGGGGGTGATAGAGTGACTTGGTGGGCACCTGGCATTCAGGCAAGGTCAACCCACTACAGTTAGTTTGAAGATAACTTTTTTTGTGATCTTGTTTTTCTTTTATAGCTTTCTCATGTCCCATTTGTACATTAAAAACATCACATGGAAATTCACCTAAAACTCAGTTGCATCCCAGTGATATTTGATTTCTTTAGGGCAACATTTTTGTTTGAACTATTTGGATTTGTCTAACAAACTCCATAACACTTCTCTATGTATTTGTATATGTAAAATAACAGGATCTTTCTACAGTATAATACTATAATGCTTGTAGTTACAAATTAAAAGTGTCTGCAAAGAAAATAGTCTATTCAGTAAGCTTCTGGAAAGATAATGGGAAGAAAGAACTTTACTACAGAGAAACGGAATGCAGAGTGGAGAAATCCTGAAATATGCTGATGCCTCAACATGCTACAAAATACAGTGGAGATGACCTTCACTGTTCTGCAGCAGCATAGCTTTGTGGTATCCAGAAAAAAGGAAAATAGCACTTTGTTCTTCTGTGATCAAGTCTAACCTATTTCTTGATACATCTCCAAGTGGTTCTGCTTCAGGATAATACTTAAATTAATATGTTGGCTGAATACTTCACTTTTAGGGAATGACTAATCTCCTGCTGTGCTTTACCTGCAATTGGGTAGTTTTATGAGAAACATCTCTAATTTTGTTATTTCATGTAGTGAAGCAATTGGTCCTTAAAATATCTATTCTATTAGACGGAATTAATTATTTATATATAATTTTCAAAGTGATTATTGCAATTTGTGTTGAGTTCTCTGGATTTAGATAAATCTTAGCCTCCAGTACTGAAAGGGAAAAGCATACTCCATCTATTTGGATTTTAGTGAGACATCACCAACTAAATCATACTATAAACTGATGAACTATATTTTATAAGATAAAGACTGACCCTAAGTCCAACAAGCTATTTACTGTCAAAATTCCACCCTTATTTTGACTGATTTGCTTTTTTTTCTTTTACTGTCTTTATTATTTGTCAGTTAAAAATGGAAAAACAAGGTCCATCTGTTGCAATAATGGTACACTTTTTAAAAAGAAAAACACCAAGAAATGCACCCCTCCCAACCCTACCCAAACTTTTAAGAACTTGTTGAGCTACAGCAGCTTCAAAGGGTTGTCATAAACATGACAGAACCAAACTCTTCTTGGTGGTGGCAGGTGATACAAGAAGTGGCAGTTCACCCTAGGAAGTTCAGGATGGATGATAGGAAAAGTTTCTTCATTAGGAGGATGATGGGAAACAGGAACAGGTTGCTGAGAGAAATAGTAGTCTCCATCCTCAAAGGTTTTTTTTTCAAGGCTTTTCACTGCTGTTCTGATCTATAGTTATTGACCATCCTGCTTTGAGCAGGGGATTAGACCAAGTGACATCTAAAAGTCCCTTTGAACCAATATTTCTATGGTTATGTGTTAACTTGTTTACAACTTCCCATTCAATGAGCTGGTCTACTCATATTAAAGCTGAACAAAATGTTCTGAATGCATCACAAGAATATACTTGCTGAAATCACATGAACTTGCAAAAGCAAAAATTTCCATGTGAATTTTAATGACTATATGTAAACATATTTCAGAAATACTGGAAAAGCTATTATGCAGTAGCCTCTAAACACATATTATTGACCTGAAAAGCACATTGGTCATGTTGTGTTAAAAAATACTCTGTTATTAGCTGGGTTGTACTTCTAAGATTAGAGGAAAAATGCAGATGGATTCCATTCCATAGGTATGAAATAATGAGGGGGGGGGGGGGAGGGAGAGAGAGGAAAAATAGGACTTTTGTGTGTCTACTGTTATGAAGACTAAATACAGCTGGTTTTTCCCTCTTGGTGCTTTAGGGACATCTTTACCTTTGAAATCTACTTAATATCAGAACGTGTTTTTCTCTTTGGAGCTGAAACTGCATATTCACAAAGAAAATGGACTTGGGCAATAGCTAAGGTAATACTGATAATTATCTTTTCCAGTTAGTCCAGGAGCCTTTGCACAAAGAATAAAGTTTCATTGTTAGCTTAAAATCCTCTGAGGAGCCATTCATGATGAATACTGATCTGTCTCGTGTAAAGGTTTCTTGTGCAGCAGGAAGAAATAACTTCTGTGATTTAATGTTTGAAACAAGTTAATAAAATAAAATGGAAAAGGAATCAAAGAAACATTTTAATGCTGACCTTAAGAATATATTAAAGGTCCTGTAGTATAAAGATATATACTTTATGAATTTATTTCAGCTATATTCTTTTATTTGCTGAAACAGCATTCATAAGGCAGTACCATATTTTACACAGTACCAAATTCTAATAATTACATTGCTAATTAAATAAAAAGCAAAAATGTTTGAGTTGTAGAGTATGAATGGAAAAACTATGTTATACTTGATTTTATAATTTAAATGTAATGCATATTTAGGTTTATGAATGATAAATCTCAAAGTCTTTTTTTTTTTTTTTTTTTTTTTACTCTGACTTTCATCCTTGAATCTTACAGATTTGCTATATCTTGATTTGAAGTTTTTATAGGGGAAAAGGGTGTTGGGATTTTGGGGGGTTTTTTTCCCCTTCATCTGACTTACCCCATTTTCTTTGGTAGCGTTTTGTTCCCCCTGTGGCTGAATGCTTATTAGAGAGAGACTTTGACCTGCTTGGCCAGCTGTACTACAAAGATTGCCATAACCTGGATCAGTGGAGAAAAGGCTGGTTTGCTATAGAGAAGTCAAGCCTTTATTTTTGTCTGGAAATGGAGAATGCTGAAGAAGATTCCATATACCTAAGGAGGTTGCAAGAACTAAGTAAGAATTTTGCTTTCAATCAAGAATTCAGGAAATACTCTACGGAATTAATTCACTGTTGAGGACATTTCCATTACATTTTAAAGTCTTAAACATTAGGGAGCTCCGTAACTATTCCTTTGCATGAGCCAGATGCTCTCCAAACTCTCCTCTAAATATGGAGTTGGCAAAGTTCTGTCTTGGATTTTTTTTCCTTACTTAGTGGCACACGCTAGAGAGATTTTTCACAGTTTCATAATGATTGAAGACAGTTTTTGTTCCAGTTGCAGCAGTTTTTTTCTTACAAGAGTACAGAATTGAATAATAATATATGACCTTTTGGGATTATTGTCTCATATTTTTGACAGGGCAGAAATACTCACTGTAGAATGTGTTATTGAGATGATTGACAGGCCTAGTTTTAAAATACTCAAATGTACTAGAAAAATTATAATTCTCTTGGAAAACTATTTCACAGACTAATAGACTTTATGTTTTTTTCTGGTACTAAAAATATTCTTTGCTCAATATCATGACGTGGACAGTTAAGAATATTTATACAAATGGTCTTCTATCACCAGTTTTATATAATTGTCTGTAATTATGCCCTGAATCCTCTTTAAGCATATCTACCCTACTTGTATTTATATTGAACAGGGAAATGCATTATGTAGGAAAGTAAAAATAATTTGAGATTTTACATTAAAGTAACATAGAGAAGATAATTTAGCGCTTTATTCATGATCCTCTTTGTAAGTGCTGTCAGACTGTGGACTGTTTTGCGGAATTTGCCTAAATGCTATTGGGCTTTCTACTGTTTATTTACTGTCACCTTATATTTGCTGTGAATAACACTGTGAAGGTAGTTTTTAACCAGGAATATTTTTATGCCTCTAGCTATCTTTTAATTTGTGCATACTTTTTGATCTTGATTCAGAATTAAAAAGTTAGGCAGTAGAAGAACTTTCTGATACTACTTTTGATAATGCAACTGTAATTGCTCCTACCCTAATCATATAAGCATCCAAAATCTGTGTATATCTCGAGTCTAGAAATGAAACTCTCATTTCGCTTTCAGTTGAAAATAATTTTTGCTTGCTTTTTAAATAGTACTTGTATAACAGAGTTGTATTTCTTGGAAATATATATCCATATTCCTATCTTTTCTTTGATTTCTTATTTCCCCAAAATAAATCTGCTCCACTAATTAAGACTGAAATGTATAACTGAAACTTGTCAAATAATTAATCATTAGTGGAAGTATAGTCACTTACCTTCTTGATATTTGCTCAGTAATGTAAATGAGGCCAGGAGCATGTGTGATACAAAAACATCATGTAACATGCATCAGAATGTTTATTGAGCTTCATTGATATTCAGGACTTTACTGTCTCTGGGAATTAGTTGAGATAAGATGTGGATTATATATATGACCTAAACTTGGAAAGACTTAACTCTTCAGAATTTTGAATTAGTAAACAGGTTACATTTAATTTACTGTTTTTAGTATAGTGCACAGTATAGTTTTATAAGCAGTGTTACTGGAAACTATCCAGATGTATTTTCTGTATTATATATAATGTAGGTGTTTTGTAGGCAATGTAAATAAGAGTGTATGTATATGTAGTTATATGTATGTATAACATATTTAAAACAACATAACATGAGTTATATCTGCAGCAATTAAGGTGCAAGTAATTTAATAGGTTTAAAAATCTAGCTTACTTCTCAATCATTGTCTTCTAAGACTTGTATTTACAAGTTTAATTTTAAAATAATAAAGCACTGTAGCACGTTTTCACATTTAAAAGTAACTGTTTAACCTTTCTTTATAATTTTCCATATGTTTTTCTTGTAAATGTGTGTATTGTGTTTAAGAATTCCATGCTGCTTTTGTCATTTTGAAAAAGCGTCTATATGTATATGTATGTGTTTGTCTATATATATGTGTCTGTGTAGATCATATGAATGTGTTTTCTTTTCAGCAATCAGTAGTGTGGTGCAAAATGGAGAGAAAATAGATGTCCTGCTGCTTGTTGAAAAAGGAAGGTAAGGTTCCCATCTGAATGAAGCTTTGATCTGCTTTTGTATTGATGTCTTGGAATTCTTGCTGATCAGTCATGGAGCTTTTTTACTTGCAGTTGCTAGAGAGAGAGAGTAAATTTGCAGACTTTTTAAAGGAGGGAAAGTCTTTGTGTATTAATTGCATTTTATGTCTGTGTCAGGAAATGCTAACAAGTACTGCTTAATTAAAAGTGGTTTTCCCACTGAGAAAATTATTCCCACTCAGATTAGCCTGCCAATAACAGTTTCTTCAAAAGAACCTAACTTTTTTACCCTGTAAAGAAAGAGTACCTCTTTGGAGCATTTACTACTTACTTCTCCAATTTTTTTATCATTCTTATGTTCTAGAATTCTGTCTCTCAATCTGTGTAAATCAGGATTGAGAGGGTATGTGTGAGTGACAGTGAGTCCCCTGGTTAGTCTTACTGTAATGTCTGATCTCAGTTAGCAACATACTAGCTTGTTCCACTTCTGCTTCCAAGTAGGTAATATTCTGCTGAGATGAGTCTCAAATATAATGATATGGGAGCTTGAAACTTTATTTGAGATAGGCAGATATATCTGTCTCATATATATGGATACAAACTTAAATGTGAAAGTAAAATTACTGAAAATAGTTATAATTTTCTAATAGGTTCGGTTTCTTATTATTTCAATGACAGATTATTGAGCAAATGTGTGTGTAAGAAGAGGTGCAGTGTTTACACAGTCTTCTGAACATCCAGTAACAGGTTAATAAAGGAAGATTGTTTTTCTCTTTGTTGGGGTTACCCCCCTCCCCCCCCCCCAGTGGAGAAACTTGGAGAAACTCGGAGAAACTCATTGTAACTTCTGTGTTCTGAATTTTAACTCTTCCTAAGATAGTGTTTAAGTTACAGAATTCAATGAGGTGATGCAGATCAGAAACAAACACTTTTTCCTGCTGGTTTGTTTGGTTTTTGTTTTTTTTTTTTTTCCGAAGAAGCATATTGAAAGATTCAGCATTAAGTAAGCTGCATAGATCAACCAGGGAAACAGGGGTATCCTATTCAAGGTGCAGTCCAACAGATGAATACAAAATGTGTATCTGATTTCATAGATATCAGAGCTGAGCAAAACTTCTAGCTCTAAGTCAGCTTTTATTATTTTTTCATTATAATATTTCTGTCAAGTGAGGGTAGGTTTTCCTTGAACTACTTTGATAGTTCAGTGGAAATTCTGAACTATTTGAAAATAATTTCAACAGAGGTGCTGGCAGATTTGTGGTGGCCATGAATATGTTTAATTTTTCTTCACTGAAGTCTACCATAAAGAATTTAAATGTATAGTGTTCACATTACCTTAACCATTAAAAGCCATACGGATATATAAGCTCTGGCATAGTGATTCTTGCTTAGATTACTTCAAAGGAATCCAGGTGTTCAGCACAGTTGCATGGTGTTGCATCTTTAGTGATAAAAAATTTAATATGTGTATGGGGAAAATGATTAAGTATAAAATCACCTTTATCTTTAGACTCTATTGTAAATGGAAACAAAACTAGCAATCTTCCTTCTGCCCCTCCAAACCCTAGATAAATAAATAAATAAATAAATAAATTTGAGATGTCATAAACATTATCTAAATGACATATCATAGTTTCTAGGTTTTCCTATTTTGTCTGTTATTTTATAGCAGTGCTTGTCTAATGGAAACTTTAGCATAGCTTGATCACTTGGAAGAGACCCTATATACTGACATGTTGACAACTTTCATGTTAATTTGTTAGTCACTTAGATGCAGGATAAATTATACAATCCCAAAAAACAATATTGCAAGAATGAAATAAAATAATATTTTTCCAGAATTAAGAAAAAAAAATCAAAACAAATTACAACCCCCTCTCCCCCCAAAAAAAAACAAAACCAAAAAACCCCTCACTCTTTTTTGCATGAAGAAATAAATGTGGTCAGTGTCTTACAATATCTTGCTGAATTTTATTAGAAGAGATGAAGAAAGTACCTTGTGTATTTTCCTACTGAAGCTCATACTGTTGTTTTTGTTACTGACTTCAAACTAACTTCCCATTGCTTACAAATACTTATGCCTTTTTTTCAAGTCTCAGTCATTGGGTTGATTAGTTAGGGAAAATTATACATTGCATGTATCATACACCTTTATCTTTGACACTTTTTCCATTGGCTACTGTAGGCAAAAGAATTCTTAAGTTCTTACAAACAAACTTCTCACTTAAGAGTGATTGCATATGCAAGTAAAGAGTTTCAGAACTATAAAAGCTTACTGATGTAATAATTATAATGTAATAAATCTATGAATTCTGGACTTTTACAAAGTACTTAGTAAATTTATATGTATGTTAAATTCATGGGGTACATAAACTGAATGTTCATTTGATCCATAGCTACTCAGAGGAAGAACTTACTGGTTCTTCAAAGAATTTACTTTGGGCTGCAAGATTCAAAATGTTTTTCAGTTTGTATAAAATACAGGACTTCAGAGCGAATACTACTGAAAGGCATGTGAGATTTTTCTGAAGTGTCTTAGGTATGAATGCAGTCCTCTTCCACACACACTTTTTTTTTTTTCTTTCTCCTATTCTTCTACCCTGTGTTCTACTTAGCACCTTGCTGTTCATTTATTCTCTATCTGACACATTCAATGGAAGAAGACTCCCAGCTCAGATATAAGAGGTGATAATCATACTATATATTGCAAAGTAATAGTGATGCTACACTGAACGGAACTGAACCAGGCTAAAACATTTTCATAGCAACTAGACTGTTTCACTTTTGGAGATCATTGTTTTTGAAGCTCAGTGTACTTCCTATATTTTTTGCAATAATCCTAGACTTTTTCTAATTCTAGATTTTTTTTTTTTTTTCAGATCTCAGAGATGTTTCATGTTTGTCTTTGGGTATCTTTGCTAAAGTAATTTAGAAAGGAACACACTCCCTTTTCTAGAACCTGTTGAAATTTTATTGCACCCTGTTTGTTGGAACATGATGTCCAACCTGTTAGAACCATCTCCAACCCAGCTAGAAATCTTGACTTCTCACAACACTGTTCTCTTATGCCATAATCAGATGGTCATTCACCTCCTCTTATGTTCTGCTTCATAGTTCAAATGCTTCTTGACTTCTTGTTAGAAGTGGCAAACTCTTTTCCTGATTTGTGTGTCTGACGCTTCCCTCTGTCACACAGAGATGTCCTCTGGTTTGCTCCATATTCAGTCTGGATTTTTTCCCCCTTGATCTCTCGTATCTATTTGTAAAAATCCTGAAGTGACTGGTGATATTTGATCTCTTGATGCAATCTAAACAGAAGTTGCATAGTAGATTGGTGAAGAAAATACTCTTTTGTAGTTCAACATAGGTCAACAGAGGGATCTGTACACTAAAGAGAGGAAAGATGTCTAAAACCAACTGTATACAGTAATTTTAAAATATATCTTGTGTATATATGTAATTTAATGCAAAATCTTTAAAGCCATACTTTAGGGGAAAACACCTGGGTGGATAATTCAGTTTCAAATGTTTGTTCTTTTTTTTTCTGTAATAATTAAAGCTCTCTTAGGTGTCAGTGAATGTTTTCATACCATAATGTAATACAGGTGGTGCTTTTTCTTTTTCTCGCTGTTATACTTCTCTTGTAGTTAGCTCTTTCTTATTATAGATAATAAACCTTCCCTACATACTGGCACAATTTCTTTATGCTCATGGTTCATTAATTACAATACTTTCTTCTTAACCCATTGGTGGTAGCAAGATTTTTTTGTAAAATGAAATTATGAGCACAGAATTCTAGAATCCATAAATTATCTAAGCATAAGGCGCAGAGGAGTGAAAGGACTTGTGCTTTCCTTAATATCTGTTGAAGAAATGTTGCTCACCTTTGCTACATATCTGTAATATGTTAATAACAATTAGTTCAATGAGAAATACAGATATTTCATTATTACTACTTCTCTGAAAACTGCGTGGAAAAGATGATGACATTGATGTGAAAAGCAGAAGCTAAATCTGCAAAGCTGTCTCTATTAATTCATCAAATTCTGTAGAAGACTTCTGCTGTGCTTTGAGGCAAGTTCTACTTTTCTGCTGGTAACTATTTCCCCTTTCCTTTTCATACCACCTTCCAGGTTCATGGAGATCAACAAATGGTTTCCAAGTAGGAAAAAAATGTTTTTAAGTTTGGCTGAAAGTGTTAAAATTAGAAGGAATGCTTAAACTTCTTATTCATACATTGTTGTATGTTTTTATGATTTAAATGTATCCTAGAATTGCTCTGTCTGCAAAAAATAGTGTGGTTTGAGATGAGCTTTCTAAGCCACTTCCACATTAAATTAGAATCTAAACTGTCTGGTACTGGTTTTATTTCCTTTTCTCCCTTCTTCTCTTTTATAGTGTTGTGGTAAATGCTGAAATTGCTGACTTTCTTAGGTGATCACTGTGGAGATTTTTGACTAGGCAAAGTTAATAAATTTTTTGGAAAATAGTTACCTTCCATGAATGATCCAATTTCCACAATAGCAGCAAGATTTTTTACATTTAAATTTTTTTACCAGCAACTTCTCTTTCATGGATGTGTTGGTGCTATAGGACTGCTACTTAGAGATATCCCATTTTCTTTGTTAATTATTCAGTAACATTTTCCTCTGTAATTTGATTTAAACTCAACGGCTTTTAAAATCATAGAAAACAATGAGAACATCATCTCTTGGTAGTTCTGATATGCTTTTTTCTTATGTGATACATTGGGGGGAAGATCCATAGAATACAGGATGGTCTTTTTCACATAGTTTGTGTAATTCATATATCATGACAGTTGATTGGCAGGCACATGATTTAGACTTTCATATCTCTGAAAAAATATAGATAAATTTAAATTTCCTTTGAAGTTCAATACTGTATTTCCTCTCTCCTCCTCTGGTACTGACTCACTGATATACAGCAGAGTTGCCCTTTTCTTGTTTAGAAGTAATAATATTTTCACTTTACAGTATGCTGCTTCCTGTGCATATAATAATTCTTTAGATAGCAAAAAATAATCTATTGAGATTTTGATTTATCCTTTTGCATAATACTTTAATGTGAATCATACTGTTCTGCAGGGAAAATAAAGACAGTAATATACATATGTGTGTGCATCTCTTGTGTTGGGAAACAACATAAAACTTATATAAATCACAGTCCTAATCTCTGCTGATCTGGGAATAATAGTAGCGAAGGAATAGTGTAACATGCACTGTCAGACTTTTTTCCACTCATTTCAGACTTTTTCATTTCTTATTCAGCAATACCAGCGGATGTCAGGGTGCTGTGTTGTTTGGAAGCCATTGGTTGAGAACCACCTATGTAGGATATCCGTTCTGACAGATCTTCAGAAAACATTTGAAAGTATTAGACACACTAATTTTGCTGTAAAAAATTTGAGACCTTTGTGCAAATTATTGTTTTTTCTTAATGGAAGAGGGAGGCTGAGTGTTTCCACTAGCCAGGCATGTGTGGTGATTATTATAACCTTCAAGGTCATGAAGTAGATTCTTCTTTCTAAAAAGGGACTTTAGTAAGATGAAATATTTTAGTGACTCCTACTGTGCTGCTGAATGGCTAAGTCTGTATGGTGGATCCTTCAAATACTTAAGATCCTGACTCTGCGTGTGTACAGTTGACTGCATCCTCGCTTCCTATTGAGATAGAAATGCTAGAATGGAGATGATTATAAAAGCAAAATTAAAAGATGCTAATAAAAATTGAAAATAAATAACTGAATATAAATATTCATTATTTAAAATGTTTGGGGTTTTTTTCCTAAATAAAGTAATCAAAATGAATGTTTATATTTTGATAAAAGTATTTTCATAGAAGTTCAGTAGAACATTTTAACTTTTCCGAATTAGCAAATAAATTGTCATTAAAGAAAATTAATCTCTTGCATTTCTTTAGTGGGAGATGAAGAGTATGTATGTAAAAAAATTTGCTTGCTATTTTAACACTTAAAACAGTTGTTTATTACATACATGCATATGGGTAGACAAACACCCTTAAGCTTTTCAATTCTGGAATTTTCTCTTAGGAGCTAGCCTGTCAGGGATAAACAAAGGAGTTTATTGTAGCATATTTAAACAATAAAATCAGACCAGGGCCATCCTTTGTGATAAAGAGTTACATTAACTGTTTCTAACTCAACTCTGAGTTTTTTCGTACATGTTCCTTAGCAATGTGATTTCCTGAGCATGATCATTTTGATGCATATGAAGGAGGGAAGTTCAGTATGTCTCAGCTCCTTTACAGAAGTGTGAGGGGTGGGAAATAGAAAAGAAGCAAAGCCTTTTACAGTATTGAAAGTTGTCTCTCAATCTGTTTCCTGCTTAACTGTGACTTGGGTTTATGAATGCACAGTGTAGGGGCAAGACTGAAGAAGAGTAATTAAAATGTTGGTCAAGTGCTTTCAAAGGCCTGTGATGGTGTTTGTGGATCTTCTTTCATTTGTTGTGATACTGCTAGTACAAATGTAGTTGGAAAAAAAAAGGTTGCTGTAACAGTAGGCCACCACAACAGCTTTATGTGGTGGAAGGTGCCTTGATGTCTTATTCAAAGTTTTTCTTATTTTTTCCAGATACCTTCTATGTTGCTATAGTACAGTAACAACAGTTTTCTATTTCTTTTCTGCTTTCAAAATATTTTTATACTTTTCAGAACGCTATACATCCACGGCCATACGAAGCTGGATTTCATGGTCTGGTATACTGCAATTGAAAAAGCAGCAGGTACAGATGGTAATGCATTACAAGATCAGCAGCTCAGCAAAAATGATGTTCCTATTATAGTGAACAGCTGTATAGCATTTGTTACACAGTATGGTAAGTATAGTGGATTTTATTCAGCATAAGATAATTTGTGTAATATCTAAGCCTCCACATCATCAGATCTTACAAAATGATTTTATATATTAACTAGTATCCCTCATTAGCCTCGCCCTTCTCTGATGCAGTGGTGAAGTACACTGCCACACATCTGAGAATGGGCAATTTGGGGAAATACAACTTGGTAGATGCCCTTTAAAGACAAATTTACACAAGTTTAAAAGAAAAATAATGTTTTTGGCTACTCTGATGCAGCAATTAAGGGTAGTCCTGATGGTGGTTTAGACTATGAATTTTGTTGTAAGTTGGCTTTGGCCTTTGGTGTTTTTAGTTGTTACATATAATAGTGGATGCCTGGTATCTTCCTGAATGTGAGAAAAAGGAATACTTTTTACTAATCTTGAGATTTTTAAGAGTGAAATGTTTAAGGTTGAATGAATATAATAATAGTTTACTGAGTCTGAAGTTCAGCGGATCAGTAGGATAAAAAAAAAATAGTGGGAATTTTGCTCATGAAAGCAGCTGTGGTTTATGTGTAATACAATACCAACCATCAAAACTTCTTTCCTTTACCATGCCTTTTGAAACTATTTCCTTACGAAATCCTGAAGAGATGTGGTGATTTGAATTGCCTATAAAGTATTCCTGAAATTATGATCCCAGGCTTGCTTTATATTATGATATATATTTTGTCTGATTGGGTGTAAGTAGACTTGGCAGTGTTTTTACTAACGAAGTGAGTATGTGCAAAAGGTCAGAGAGATTTTGGTAGGAAATACAGTACGATTGACAGCCAGATACACTTTTCATATAATAATATTTGGAATTTTTAAAAGAATACACAATTTTACATTTATTTATTTTTCTGTCCTGTATTTCTGTAACTTAGGTTTAGGTAGCAAGCAGATCTACCTTAAGAATGGCGATTCTTCCAATGTGGCTGAACTACTGGAAAGCTTCAAAAAAGATGCAAGGAATGTTAAACTAAGAGCAGGAAAACATCAGCTTGAAGACGTGACTGATGTATTGAAAAGTTTTCTTTCTCAAATAGATGATGCACTTCTCACTAAAGAGCTTTATCCATTCTGGATCTCTGCGTTAGGTAACGTCTTCAATAACACTCATTACAGGAAAGGTTATATGTACATTTTCAAATTTGAGGGGATTTTTAATTACTTGCCCTGTGTCAACCTATGTAGCTTGATAATTGGCAAAACAATTCTATTGAGGTAAAAAATGTTAGAGCTTGGCTGCAATAAATTTATGTTAATCAGAGATTATTTTATTGCCTTTAAGTGAACTAGAGTAATAATAACAAATAGCGATCTTTCCTTGATGATATGTCTGTAAACAGTAGACCAGTATTGCACTGTGTCATAGTTGGATTAGCCAAGGTAAGAAGTGATGATCAATATCTTATGGAAGCAGTGGTCATAGAATTCAAGAAACAGACAAATGCTAGAGTAGGAAAGAAGCATATAGTCTGTCTTTTGACAATATGTAGAAGTTTAGTTCAAAAGTGTCAAAATGTTGATGCTATCATCTGCATAATAGTTAAATTGCAGTCTTACTGCTTAAATTCTTTGAATATCTTTTATGAACGTTCAAAGTTAAGTATGTTAACAATGTAAAGTTGTTAACAACTGTTACTTGTTAGGTTTGGTTTTTTTTTGTTTCCTTAGAAATATTAATTTAATTTGAAAGAAAATTTAAGTAACTTCAACCCAAACTGTAACTTCTGGTGTATTTAGAACATGAGGATGTGTGTCTGTTTCTGGTTGAAGGCAGAACCATGAGATAACTAATACGTTAATTAGTTACACGTTACATAAATTGTGGTGATTTTTATAGTGTTCTTAATAAACAGCTATATTTCTATTTGTTTCTGTATTGCTGTATTTACTGCAAGAATCAAACCCTTTTCCTCCAAAACTGTGCTATAAAATTGCAGATGATGTATAGCAACAAGAGATACATAGGAAAAGCTAAGATAGAACATTAATTTCTCTATTAGTGCATTGAAATCATATAGGCCTATTTACTGTGTGTCTTTAAAAAAGTTATTAGTTATTATATTCTGTTTATATTAGTTATTATATTCTGTTTTTCCTTAAGTTAAAAAATATGGAGTTTGCTTTAATGTGAACCACTGGAAGTTTGGGAAATTAAAGTATGAATATTACACATTTTGACCTTCAACTTCAATTTGAACAAACTAGAGGAAAGAATATTAAGAATTTATTTACTTACCACAGGATTGTTTTCTTCAGAAATGAGAAAATTGTATCTATAGCAGTTGAGATTTAAGCTAGCTCTTTTGTGAAAGATGCATAATGGTGTTGCACTGATTTAACTTCCTGATTTATCAGACTAAAATTCTGCTTCAGCTTTACAGAGGAGAATCCTGTCCTGTTATATTTAAGTGACACTTAATAAGAGTAGAAGACCTTTAAACTGTTTTTTTGTTGTTGTTTGCTTGTTTATTTTTTCTTCCAATTACTGAAGAAATCAAAACATAGTGCAGTAGTTAGTGGAGAGTGCTAGCAATCAACTGGAAGAGGAGTTCTGTGCTTTTTTATTTTCAGAAACTTAAGAGAAGCAAACAACAGAGAAGAAAAAACTAAATCAATCAATAAATAATATTTACATTAACTTTGCTCATGCCCTGAGCAGGATTATGCTCTGTACTATCTATGCAGCACAGGAAAGCAGACTTAACTTGAAGGCAGAGAGCTGTGGCTGTGTCTCACACACCTTAATTCCCAAGACTGGAATTCCTGTCATCGTCTCTGACAGTGTTCAACTGTGTAACTTTGTACAATTTATTCACAACCACTTCCCCTTTGCTCTCCCCTTACCAGTCTTATATTTGTACCTTTAAACTACTTTGGGCCTTGAGACAGTTTTCCAATAAAAATTTAAAAAGTTAAAATGGTCTTTTCCTTTCTCATCTCTGGGAACTCTTAGAAGTATGTTTGCACTTGTGCATGCACAGATACACTCACACATATACGCGCACAAACTACAGATTAAATATCCTTTAAGAGGAAAAGCAGTTGCTGTCCTTGGGTTTAGTCTTAAACTATAGCAAGTAGTTCTTGAATATAGAACTGGCCCTCTTTATTGCTGATTTTGTTTCCCTGGACTGGTGTACAATAGTGGACTTTGTTAATAGTAGATTGTCTCTGTTGCCTCTATGAAGAAGAGGTTGTTTGGTAGAATGTAATTTTAAAAGACTAAATTGATGCCAATATAGTTAATGAGAACTGCTGTTGGTTTTTAGTGTGCGTTGTTATTAATGCTCAGTAATTATTTTCTGGCAGATACACAGAATGAAAAGGAACGTGTGAGGAAATATGGAGCTTTTATTCGGACACTTCCACTAGTCAATAGGGCAACTTTGGCTGCTTTAATTGAACATCTTTACAGGTAAATGCAAATGATGCATTGTTGCAGAGAAATTCTTGTAATGTGTTCTCACTTTAACTACCATAAATGAAATGTGGCTTGTTTCATTAACTAGCAAAAAGTCAAAACTTACCTAGTTGTGACAATTAATTAATTTGATTCCCTTTAATTTATAATGTGTCTTTTAATTGGTTGTATTTTTAGCAGTAGGTATCTATAAATATCAATGGGATGGAACAGCTTTATAGCAAAAGAGGACTACCACTTTATGTGTCCAAATAGGGTAATTTTTGATGTAGCTTCTTTATATTAACTCATTTTACCCTAGTCTACTAGTCTTCTCTGAAAGTAGTTTGAATTTGTATGTGTAACAGCCAAAATTCTGTGATACTTTAAAGTTTGCTTTCAAAAGAAGACACATTATGTAAACAACAGAACTGATATGAAAACTTCATCATAAGTATAGAAACTAAGGATCTCATTTCTTTCCACATTTTGTTTGATCCTAGATCATAAGTTGTAGGATATACTTATTTAACATAATATAGCAAAGCTGTGTTTAACACTGGTGCAGCCTCACCTTGAGTACTGTGTGCAGTTCTGGGCCCCACAATTTAAGAACGATGTGAAGGCACTTGAATGCATCCAGAGGAGGGCAGTAAAGCTGGTGAAAGGAAGCTGAAAGAAATGTCCTATGAGGAGCAACTAAGGACTCTGGATTTGTCTAGTTTGGAGAAAAGGAGGCTGAGGGGTGACCTCATCACTCTCTACAGATTCCTGAGGAGGAGAAGTGGAGAGGGAAGTGGTGACCTCTTCTCCCTGGTATCAAGTGGCAGGACATGCGAGAGTGGTTCAAAGCTGCATCTGAGGAGGTTCAAACTGGACATTAGGAGGCATTTCTTTACTAAGAGGGTGGCCAAATACTGGAACAGGTTTCCTAGAGAGGTGGTTGATGCCCCAAGCCTGTTGGTGTTTAAGAGGCATTTGGACAATGCTTTTAATAGCATGCTGTCCTGGTTTTTGCTAGGATAGGGTTAATTTTCTTCTTAGTAGCTAGAAAGCACTGTGGTTTGGTTTCAGTGAAGATTGTTATGAGAACTTTTGGTCAGCCCTTAGGTGGTCAGGCAGTTGGATTAAATGATCATTGTAGGTCCCTTCCAGCTGAACTATACTATTCTATTTTTATTCTGTTCTCTTCTAAATAATTTTGATGTCACTTGAGATGCAGATAGAAACTGTAAACTTTTGTTTCTGTAATGAGATATGAGATAAAGAATATAAAGACATAAATATAAAAGAGAATAAGTAATATTAGATTTTGTCATTACATTTAATGTAGTTATTGTTTTTGAAATACACTCCATGGTCTGTAGAGGAGCCTCACACAATTAAAGGAACAATTAAACCTTCTAAATATGTTTATTTTTTCTTCAACAGGGTGCAGAAGTGTTCTGAAATCAATCACATGAACCCTCACAATCTAGCCATGGTGTTTTCATCATGCTTATTTCAAACAAAAGGCCAAACTAGTGAAGAAGTCAATGTAATTGAAGATCTAATTAAAAATTATGTGCAACTTTTTGATGTAGGTGTCTTATATAAAAGTGTCCTAATTACTCAGCTGTTAGATAAGCTAAATTATAGAAATCTTCTTGAATATTATCTTGATATTAATTACACTGAGGATTTGCAGGGCTTTTGAACTTTACTTTGTGGACATTGTTTTTTGTCTGCTTTAATTTTTATTTCCCAGCTAGCTTAGCCTGTAAGAAAGTAGGAAAGACTATATTTATAGGATTGCTGTGAGCTACTGTTTTCTGAAATGGTGCACGTTCTTCTGGTTGACACCAGCATACCAGTTTAAAGAATTTAAGAAAATTTTGAGTTTGACTGTTAAAAATAATATTTTGTGGTGGTTTCACTTGGCTAGCAGCCAACACGGCTGTTTGCTCACCTCCAGGGGATAGGGGAGAGAACTGGGGGGGGAAGGGTCAGGAGAATCGTACATTGAGATAAGAACAATTTAATAAATGAAATAAAAGAAAACTTAAAATAATACTGATATTAAAATAATAATGATAATAATAGTAATAAAATATGTGAACAAGTGATGCACAGTGCAATTGCTTACCACCCGCCAACCAAGCCCAGCCTGTTCCCTGATAACAGTCCCAGAGGAGCAACAATCCTGAACCAAAACTGCAATCCTGGAAGAGTGAGAGCCCGAGCAATAGTCAGAGAGAGCAAAAGAGGAAGAGACCCTCACTAATGTACTGGACGTGATGTTATATGATATGGAATATCCCATTGGCATATCCAAACACCAGTTTAGCTTATTAATATAAATATTCCTGACCCCCTTAGATCTTGCGATTGTAGACTAACAGAACACGAAGTCCTTCACTTCCAGCTACAAAAATGAAAACACTGGTATGTTATCAGTGTTTCTCTCATAACAAATCCCAAGCTGAAAGCAAAATGCAGCGCTATTCTAGCTACTAAAAAGAAACCCAGCTCTGTTCCAGCTAAAAACCAGGACATACTTCTATCCAATTTTATGGGCCTGAGCAGAACTGAAGCATGAAATAATTCTGTGTTCTTAAGTCTCTGAGCAGTGGTTATAATAGAGACTAGAGAAGGTGCTTGGTTCTTTTGGCCTAGAAGGAACATTAAACCCAACTGGATAGAAAAGGTACAACTAGCATTTGTTCATATTGCCATTTGGTTTAGAGTTTACTGTGCCACTATAACACTGTTTGACCATTTTCATGGAATGTTCTCTCTTCTAATATATATTTGGTATAGTTTATAACAATGAACCCAATCAATGAAGTGCTGTTTCTGACTGATAGAATATTTTGCATAGCTGCTTCTAAAAGTGTAGTTAACAGTAACAATATTTATTATTGCTACATTATTATTAATTTTTTACTAGTGTTAGATATAAACATTCTTCTATATTTATATTTATTTTAATTTATTATATTAAAATAGTGCTTGCTAGTTTTTGTTGTAATTTTTAGAGTAGTTCCCTTATACTTCTTAATTGATCAAAAATGATCCATCTTAAACAGATAAATGAAGACCAGGTCAAACAAATGGATATAGAGAACAGCTTTATTACCAGGTGGAAGGACACTCAGGTAAGTGGCAAATATCAACTGGTATAAAAACTATTTTAAGAAAGACTATTTTGTTTACCTAGATTTCTAAATGTAAATTTCTAAGTTTGTATAGTGACCAGTGTTGTTAACTACAGAGCTGAGGGAAATAAAATGAAATAAAAGAGAAGGCATAAACTGATAAAGCAAAACAGTTTTGTTTAAAGCATACTGTGGAATTATATTTTGGCCCAAGCACTGGGGTAACTTACAGTTATCATGTTACATGCTTTTGCTATGCTTCATAAATTATACTAGAAGGAAATGGTCAATGTTTGCAAGTGTGAAAGTGATGACCTGGTTTTGGTTTTGTGTTTTTGTTTGTTTGGGTTTTTTTTCGTTTTAAACTTACATACCTTTGAGTGTATATTAATACTTCTATTATTTCATAAGCTTTGGGTACGCATGGTATCTCTTCATTAGAGTTTTACTATCCCTTTGAGTTTAAAGCATCTGAATCTTTAGCTGTGTCCTGTTTTGTGACCATTTCTAGAATCCTGAAGCACAAATATTATTTGGGGTAGCTTCAGATATATATTAACAGTCAAATTGAACTTTGGGATACACTATCAGAAAATGGGACATCTTATAGAATCATAGAATGGTATGAGTTGGAAGGGACCTTAAAGATCATCTAGTTCCAACCCCCCTGCCATGAGCAGGGACAACTTTCACTAGACCAGGTTGCTCAGATACTAATCCAACCTGGCCTTGAACACTTCTAGGGAGGGTGCATCCACAGCTTCTCTGGACAACCTGTTCCAGTGTCTCACAACCATCACAGTAAAGAATTTCTTCATAATATCGAATCTAATCCTACCCTCTTCCAGTTTAAAGCCATTTCCCCTTGTTCTATCACTACCTGCCCTTGTAAAAAGTCCCTCCCCAGCCCTCATGTAGGCGCCCCTCGGATGTTGGAAGGTTGCTATACGGTCTCTCCAGAGCCTTCTCTTCTCCAGCCCTAACTCTTTCAGCCTGTCCTCAAAGGAGAGGTGCTCCAGCCCTCTGGTTATCCTTGTGACCTTCTTCTGGACTCAATCCAGTAGACCTACGTCCTTCTGATTTTGGGGGCCCCAGAACTAAGTGCAGTACTCCAGGTGGGGTGTCACAAGAGCATAGTAGAGGGGCAGAATCACCTACCTTAATGTGGTGGCCACGTTTCTTTTAATGCAGCCCAGGATATGGTTGGTCTTCTGGACTGGAAAAGCAAAATGCTGACTCATGTTGAGTATCTTGTCCACCAGTATCCCCAAGTCCTTCTTCTCAGGGCTGCTTTCCATCCATTCTCTGCCCAGCCTGTGTTTGTGCTTGGGATCGCCCTGACCCAGGTGGAGGACCTTGTACTTGGCCTTGTTGAACTTCATGAGGTTTGCACAGGTCCCCCTCTCAAGACTGTCAAGGTCTCTTTGGATGGCATCCCTTCCCTCCAGTGTGTCAACCACACCACACTGCTTGGTGTTGTCAGCACTCCATCTCACTGTCCATGTCGCTGACAAAGTTTTTAAACAATGCCAGACCCATGAGGGATGCCCCTCATTATGCCACTTATTATCAACTTAAGTTCCAGTCTTACCTGTAACAACTTTTGAGTAACTTCAGAGTGGTGAGAAACAGCAAAGTGATAGCATGTTTCATTATCTGTATGGTTTTTGTGTACAGTCTTAATTAAAGCAAAAATTGGTAAGTTTCATAACACCAGCAAGGTGGTTGAATTAAGAGAGGTAAAAAGAAATGTAGGAACTTAAAAGCTTTTTCAGAAATCTGAAGTAGTGATTTGGGAGTTTACAGGGCTTTAGAAACTAATAGAAAGCTAGCAGAAAAAATCTGTAATGCTTTGTCTCTTGGCTGCCTTCACCCTTCCAGCAACAGTTTTGTGGTACCTTGTAAGCCATCATTGAGAAGGCAGGGTCTTGCAAATAGATTAAATTGCATGTTCTGTGAATTGCTATCTGGAGCCATATTTTTATCTCATATTCCCTTATTGTCTGGGTCAGAGTGGCATGAAGCTTTCTGACCATAATGACCTACTGTCAATGTGCATGTTTCCTACTTTTGGTGCCCAATGGGGAGTGATCAAGTCAGTGGAAAACAATTTAAAGTTTATTTCTAGTGTCTTGCAGAATAGAAACATCTGCCTTGGTAATCACACACGCACATAAAAAACCCCAACCAAACAAAAAAAACAACCCAAAAAGCCCCCAAACCAAACCAAAATCAAACAACAAAAAACCCCTAAAAGCCCACACCCCAAATTTGATATCCCTAAGAGCATTCTGCAAGGCAGGGGTTGAAGTATCTTTAATGGAACTGATTAATTCTGGGGTCCATGGAAAGGGCCTTACTGAGATTAGAGAATAAAATTTTTAAGCCTAAAAAAGAGAATAGGCACAGACTTCTAAATACATTCTTTTCTGTAGTTTTAGAACAACAACAAAAAAATGCTTATTATAGCTTGTTACAATATTAACATTTTCCTAGCAACTTTGGGAAGCTGTAATGGTTAAATGTTTGTAATACCTTCTGGAAATATTAGGGAGATATGAAAGATGTTTCATGAGCAGAGAAAGAGGTAGTGGAGACATTTTGTTTAGATACAGAGAAAGAAGTAGAAAGGAAACTAAGACACATGATGTACTTAGTAATATAGTAGCAACTGCTAGCTAGGTGGGTTTGTCTAAAACTGAAGTTGTGAGTAATATATAGAAGACCCAAGTAAAGTGGTTTTGTTCTGTATTTGGAAAATTGATAAGGTTTTTCTTAAAAAGCTTCCAGCACCTAAAAGCTAACCTTCCAAAGTTTGAGCTTTATAATCAAATTGGAACCTTCATGAGTAATTGGATCTGTTTGGAAAACAGACTCTCCAGGTTGTTGGGAGACGGAGTTTACAGAAGAATTGAACCAGGTTTTTAACTGTTGTTATTGTGCTCTCAGCAAAGCCTCCAGCATTAATAATCAGCTTTTTGGATTGATGGTTATACCTATTGTGTTAATAGATTATGATTCTCATAACACATATGGCTAAGCTTTAAATTATTTACAGAAGATAGTAATATCAATTTAACCTTAAAAATGAAACAAAACTTGCTACCTCATCACAGAATTATCATAGAATCCTGGAATATCTCAAATTGGAAGGAACGTGTAAGGATCATCCAATCCCAGTTCCCTGCTCCTTGCAGGACTGCCTAAAACTAAACCATAGGATTAAGACCATTGTCCAGACACTTCTTGGACTCTGACAGGTTTAGTGCTGTGATCACTTCCCTGGGGAGCCTGTTCCAGTGACCAACAACCATCTTAGTCAAGAACCTTTTCCTAATGCCCAATATGAACTTCCCCTTTATTCCAATTGTCTATGTTGGAAGGAACCTGTTGAGAGCATCTAGTCTAATTACACTGCTGCTCAAGCGTGGCCTCTTAGAGCACAATGCCTAGGCCTGCGTCCTGACAGATTTTTTAATATCTCCAAGGGTGGAGCCTCTCTTGGCAACCTCTTCAATGTTTTCCCACCCTCACAGTATAACTGTTTTCTTGAGTTCAGATTGAATTTTTTGTATTTTAATTTGTGCCCATTGCCTCTTGTCCTGTCACTGGATGGCACTGAGAAGAGTATCTCAGTTTTCTTCATTCCCTCCCATCAGCTATTTGTACATGACAAAATTCTCCCCTAGCCTTCTCTTCTCCAGGCTAAACAGTTTCAACTCTTTCAGCTTATTCTTATATAAAAGATGCTGCAGTCCCTTCATCATCTTGGTGATTCTTCACTGGACTATGTCCAGTAGTTCCATATCTTTCTTATCCTGAGGAACCCAACACTGGACACAGTACTCCAGGTGTGGCCTCAACAGTGCTGAAGAGAAGGAAGGAATCACCTTTCTCAACCTGCTGGCAGTGCTTTGTCTAATGTAGGCCAAGAGACTGTCAGCATTCTTTTCTCTGAGGACGCATTGTTGGGTCATGATCAGCTTGTATACTGGGAAAGCTGCATTCCGGCTGGTTGTCCCCCAGAGTGTACCGATACCTGGAATAACTTGGATTTCCCCTTGTTTAACTTCATGAAGTTCCTCTCTGCCCAGTTCTTGAGCCTATTGAGGTCCTTCTGAATGTATCGACCACTCTTCCCAGTTTAGTACCATCTGCAAACTTCTTGAAGATGTGCTCTGCCCCATTATCCAGACATTTGATGAAGATTAATGGTCTCCTGGCTGTTCAGCCAGTTTTCAGTCCACATTACTGTCTGCTTACATAACCTGTACCTTGTCAGCTTTTCATTGTTGATGTTAAGGGAGATGCTGTCAAAGACTTTAATAAAACTGAGGTAAACAACATCCACTGCTATCCTTTTATCCACTAGTATCCTTATTGTTAAGGACTATCAGTTTGGTTAAGCATGATTTCCCCCTTGTAAGTCCATACTTACTAATCCAAATCACATTGTTCTCATTAATGTTTGGAAACGCTTTCCAGGAGGATTTTCTCTACCACCTTCCCAGGGACTGAGGTGAGGTTGGCCAGCCTGTAGCTCCCCAAGTCTTCCTTCTTGCCCTTCTTGAAGATGGGATCAATACTTGTGCTCTTCCAGTCTTTGGGAACCTCTCCCAGTCGTCATGACTCTTCAAAGATAATTGAGAGTGACTTTACAGTGACATCAGTGAGATTCCTCAGCATTTTTGGGTACTACTTGTCAGGACCCATGGACTTATGTAAATCTAGTTTCTTTAAGTGCATGTTAACCTGGCTCTTCACTGATGGTAATCTTTCTTGCTCCATACCTTCCTTCTGGTTTCAGCAGCCTGGGATTCCTGAAGGTCAGTCTTTCCAGTAAAGGCTGAGGCAAAGAACATATTGAATACCTTGGCCACCTCTTCTGTGTGATTTGTCAGCTGATGGCCTGCCCTATTCAGCAGCAGGCCTATGTTTTCCCTAGTCTCCCTTTTGCTGTTTATGTACTTGTAGAATCCTTTCCTGTTGCCCTTTGCGTT